CACACACACACACACACACACACGCACACACACTCTCTCTCTCTCTCACACACACACACAAACACACAAAACAAAATCACAGGGACACAAAATCACACAAAAATGATCTTGTGATTACATTTATAGCCCTATATAATTTGCAACACTTCCATTGTGTTGGCTGAAACAAATAGATAAAAAAAAAAATAGACTCAACAAATAGAACAAATAGAATAAAACAGCTACTCACATTGCCCTCCAACACAGTAGGGGGAGCGGTTTAGCAAAGGAATGATTAAGCCATCAATGAATTTACCTGTTACTAAAATGAAAAATACTCCAAAATGTAAGTGTTTGTGAAGTTCATATTAAATGAAGCACAAATGCTGTTGTTTTTATATTAGTAACAATCAGTGCAGGTCATCGAGTCACTGACAGCATTGATAGGAGTTAGTCTCTCCCTCAGTGAATCACAAAAACAGAGTGATTCAAAGTAATGCAGTTTTAAAGATATGGTTAGTGGTTTTGGTTCAAATAGGTCTGGGTTGGGTTCATATTATCACATACTTGTTTGTTATAATGACAATAATCTTTAACCTGACTTCAAAAAGCCATTTTGTGGAGGTTATTTCAACTATTTTAAAAAGACACAATGTGTTGACAAGGAACATGTCAATTGTTCAGCTCTATGTAACATATATTGAATGTATATTAGCACATATTTTATGTCCTGTAACTGGCCATTATTATGTGTTTAAACATTTTTAAGAATCTTTTGCTTTTTTGCAAGTGCAATTCACCTGGACCTGTGACAGTGACAGAGAAATGTTTTTTTTTCATATACAAATAGTGCATGCAGTCTCTCGATTAATGCGTTCATAAAAAAAACCAGCATATAATTCTATAATTGTGAGCATGTCACTGATGTCACTGCTTGAAATTTAATTTTAACTCTGAGTATATGTCAGAGCTCAGAAATAAGTTTTTTTCCCCCCAAGAATGATGCATTTATTTTATAATAAGCAGATTTTTATCGATGCTTTTTTATATTTGGCAGAAATATCTATGTTTTTATATTCCAAATTAAATGTTAAGTTTTGTTCAAGCTATTATTTAAGAAGAATTGCAACAACCTGCAAATTATATAGGGCTATAAATGTAATCACAAGTCATTTGGCAATTTTGACAAAATTAATCTATTATGTTAGCAAGCTTGAAAACTTGACAGATCAGCAGAATTTGCAACAACTATGTAGAATACGTCACAGAAAACCGAAGCTTGTAAGATCAACAAATGCAAGAATTTCAGTGTCAGTGCTGTCATCTGGTCTAAAATCATTATAAAGCGGAGAGTTCCGGTCCTTGATTCTGATTGGCTGAGCCGCGTTCAAAGCTGTTGTATATTACTCTACAAAGTAACATACACCTTTGTTTACGTTTGTGTGTTGCTCGGCAACCACTTTGTTGCAACCACAACTGATTCTGAGGAACTACATTGTTTGGTGGAAGAATACTGTTTTTATTAATATCATTACACTTTATTTGCTATGTTTTATTCTGTGAAACCTTACTACGTATTTGGAATAACTGTTTTATAAAAGCAATACGCCCCGTGAAGCTATTATAAAAACAACTGTTATAAATTTACTGTAAACCACGGCTTCTTGGGCCTTATTGCTTTAATCACACTGACCCTATAATATTACAAAAAAAAAAAAGAATGGCTATTTTACACAGAAACCAGGCAACCTTTATTTATTTTACATTTAAGTAGCTATGCACTGCAACATAAATAAATGATGCAAATTACTGTGCTACTTTTTATCGTATTACTATTTACTGCATTTATTTATGCTTTCATTGCTGGGTTTAAAAAAAAAAAATGTTTAAGGGTGACGATTAATCCGATTTTTTAATTATTTGTTTTATAAATTTTGTTCGCTCATTTATTATGGATCATCTCATGGTTCACTATGTATAGGTACAATTATCTTATAGAGTCATTCATTTAGTTTAAAATTTCATTGTTGCTCAAAAACCTAGTGTTACACTATCAGCCTGACAGTTTAGCCACATTTGTACATTACCCACTATTTACCACAATGATAGCATTTGTTCAGACATTTTTGAAAACACTCTAAAATAAGTTTGCAATAGTGTAAGTTTTAGGGAGAAGGCATTTCCTGCTTGTTGCTGGAATGGAACTCTGTAATTGATCCATGTTTATATGATGCTGTGATACTATCTCGCTGGGGCTTCATGTGGTCTTGGATGTTAGATGCATCAAGGGTGTAATTAGTAGTGATCCATGATGGTTTACATACTTGGGCCGTTTGAAGTCAGCAGTGTTGGGAGGTGCAGTGTTCCAGCATGAGCCGATCGCTGGCTGATTAGTGCAGCAGATAGAGGGACAGCGAGGGCCTGATATCACAGATAAACACCTTTCTAGAGATCAGGGCTAATTCACAGCTCAGCTGGAGTGGCTGGAGTTTCTGCTGGTAGTGCTTATAGTGCTTATGGATTAAGTCTTATAAATGCAACTCCTTTAGACCAGGACTCATAAGAAATGCAAATGTACTTTGATAGACAGCCACTTTTCTAAATAATGTATTATTTATAAATATAACATGTATGCATAGCTGGCTTTGAATTTATTTGCAACATTTCTAATTGTTGAATCAAAAGCAGCTTGTAATGACAAAGATTTTGAATCAGATCAGACTGGTAAAAAAAAGTTACAGTCAGTTTGTGGGTTCAGTAATGTTGTTAGTCATACATTTTAAATACACTGCCCAATCTACAAT